CACCACCCCACCTGCCTTTGGAGTTTATGTGAAATCATTTAAGCTGTGGATGCTGCCTTAGATTTAGAAGGCTGTACCAGATGGCATGAATGGTTTGTGCTTGACTCTCCAAAAGATTTGAGATGGGAAACCACCCAGTGAGCCCATGGAAGAAAGGACTAATGATCTGCTTCCGTTAAGATTACAACCAAGAAAACCTTATGGAATAGTTCTACTTTGTAACCCATGGGTCACTATGAGTCTGAATCAACTCAGTGGCAGTGGGTTTGGTTGACCTGTCTCAAGAATGCCACTTAGAGTTAGTTTCAGTTCCCAAGTTAAGTCTCAGATGAGTGTCCCTGGCTTTTGTACACTCCAGTAAGCTAAAGGACATTGGCATCAACAGGGGTCACCTTCCACAGTAGCACTTGGTAGGCTTGCCACCTGTCTTACTCCACCAAGCCTTCAGCAGGCGGACGTTGCAGTCAGTGCAGAGTGGTACGTACCAGGTGGAGAGAATGCCTTCCCTTCTCCCCCACCCCCAGATCACGGGACATTAATTTAGTGAGAATTTGAGGGCAGGTGGGCAAAAGTATTGAAAGCTGTACCTATATTGTATAAACAACACTTTGACAGTAAAGAAAATAAAATTGTTTCCCATAGTCCCTCAACCAAAATATCCCTATTTTTATGATAGCTATTTCCTTCCCGTCTTTGTTTCATTATATAAATATTTTTGCAGCGATAGTCATAGTGTAGATAGCCTTTTTGTTATGGCCTTTCATTTAACATTTCATTAGCTGTTTTTCCACGTTCCTACATGGTTTTAGAACAGTATTTTTAATGACTACATTATGATGTTTTGTAATACTTTATGCCCCATTGTTGAACACTGAAATTATTTTCAACAATTTACTCTTTCAAAAAGTGCTACAATGCACATGTTTATGTATGTAACATATTTCTTTATTTTATTGCCTTCAGAAAACAAGTAAGATTATTGGTTTAAACAGTATGAACCTTTTTATGGCCTTTGATACATAAATCCATTTTCTTTACTAAAAGGATCTTATATGGCTACCAGTACTAACATATGAACACGCCTGTTTTAAATCACACTTTTGACAATGGAAGCAGTTATATTTTAGATATTTTCCTAACTTAATAGGAATAAAATAATTATTTAATTTATTCTTTTTTTGATGGCTGTTGAGATGAATCTCCTCCCGTAATTTTTTGTATCGCCTCTTGTGTGAATTATCTGTTTGTGTTCTTTGCATATCTGTTTGGACTCTTGGCATTTTTCTTACAAATTCATATGAATGATACCTCCCTAAAACCAAAACCAAACCCACTGCCATCTAGTCAATTCCGACTTGTAGCGACACTAGATGACAGAGTAGAACTGCCCCATAGGGTTTCCAAAGCTGTAAATCTTTACAAAGCCAACTGCCTCATATTTCTTCTGTGGAGAGGTTGGTGGGTTCAAACTGCTGACTTTTTGGTTAGCAGCCCAGTGCTTTAACCACAGCTCCATCAGAGATTCTTGGTCCCAGCTTCTTGTTGTTGTTGTTGTTATGTGCCATCGAGTCGGCCCCGACTCATAGTGACCCCTCCTTGGGTTTCTGAGGCAGTATCACTACGGAAGTAGGATTGCCCAACCTTCCTTCCGAGGAGTGGCTGGTAGGTTTGAACTGCCAACCTTCTGGTTAGCAGTCAAGTGCTTTAGCCACTATGCTACCAGAGCTCCTTGGTCCCAGCTTACATGCTGAATAATAATTTTAGCAATTATGGGTGCCACAGTAGTATGAACATTTAAATCATTTGCTCTCTTGAATGAGAAAATGAGTATGGAGGGACAGTCAGGCAGGATGCTTTTATTAGTAAGGTTTTGATTATTAAAAAAAAAAAAAAAATTAATGGAACAGTGGAATTCTGCCCCAGAAACAACAATGTAAAAAAAAAAGGGGGTAGGGAACCCATGAAGGACTATTTACTCCACCACTCTCTTACGCCCTACCCCCTACCCCATATTTCCACCAGTTTGTAAGTTTGGAAATATGTCTTTATGTAGAGATACAGGTTGAGTAAGCTGATAAAATTATAATCACAAACAAGCAAGCAATGAAAAAAATCACTCTGTACCCTAATTCAGTTTCCATAGATACCATGTATATTATTGACTTTTAGTAGTAATCTGAATGAGTTGCATTTGACATTGAATTTACATATTTTTAGTTATGGCCTTATGAGGTTTTCTTTGTGGCAAAAATAATCCATTTCAGCATTGTCATTTGGGAATTTCAGTTTGGTGAATACTCTGAGTGGGTGCTGTCTTCCATATCCTTCTAAGTAAAATAAGGAACTGTGAAATTGTAGTATACAGCTGCTCCTCATTTTAAGAGAGATATCTAGCTTTTCAGAGTGTAGAGAAGAACAAAGGAGATGTGTTTAGGTTGCCTGAAAGAAGAACATCAACTCATATCAAGCTACTGAAAGATAATATTTAACCTATGTAAGAATTTTAGGTGGCTGAAGGAATTCAAGATCTGGAGATGGGAGTTAACTAGCCTGAGTTTTCTATTTAGTTTAATTCAGGATTCTAAGAAATCAACTAGTTCTGTACAGGATCCTCAAATATCCACGATCTCTTTATAAACTTTTTGTTCAGCCATCACAAAGAATGGGCTGGTTATTTGTTACCAAAGGCAGCCTCATTCATAAAGTTGGATCTTTGTTAAAGACAGTAGCCTGATTTTGAAAGAGGAGTTCACCTTTATTTACCAGGACTTCTTCAGTGGTTGTAGAACTTTCCCATAGGAGTGATTATGGGCAGTGATTATTAGTTGCTGGAGGGGCCAAAGCCACTGCTGACCTACTTGCTGCCACTCACTGGAGGCAGACCGATACCGTGGGTGCAAGGAGAGCATGTGGGCTGGGTTTTGATCCTGACTTGTGCCCTTGATTCTTGTTCTGTACATAAACTATAACCCTATGCTGTGGCCTTAGAAAAGGCCCAGTAGTACCATAGCATGAGAGGTGGATAGAATGGTCCAATTTAGATAAATTTCTCTACTTTTGAAGTAATTTATTGTTAATCTATATCTTGAGCTTTCTAGTCTACCTGTTTTAAGTTGCATCTCAATCTCCTTGCTTTCCCACAGACACACGAGATAATTCTTGTCTCTTTACTTCAGGATCTAACAACTGCTTTTTTCTTTTCACTTAGCCACTTAGTTTGCTAGGGCTGCCATAACAAAATACCACAAAGTGGGTGGCTTTAAAGAAAATGTATTTTCTCACAGTTCTGCAGACTGTTGTTAGTTGCTATCCAGTTAGTTTAGACTCATGGCTACCCTGCAACAACAGCACCACAGAAAGAAACCGTGCCTGGTCTTGTGCCATCCTCAGTTGTTGCTAAACCAGAGCCTATTGTTGCAGCCACTCTGTCAATCCATCTCCTTCAGGGTCTTCCCCTTTTTCACTGACCCTCTATTTACCAAGCATAATACCCTTCTCCAGGTATAACATGCCCAAAGTATGAGAGAGAGAATCTGGCCATTCTTGCTTCTAAAAGAGCATTCTAGCTGTACTTCCTCAAAGACAGCTTTGTTTGTTCTTCTGGCAGTCCGTGATATATTCAGTACTTTTTGCCAACACCGTAATTCAAGGGTATCAATTCTTCTGCAGTCTTCTTTATTCATTATCCAGCTCTCACATGCATATGAGGCTATTGAAAGTACCATGCCTTGGGTCAGGCACACCTTAGGCTTCAAAGTGACATTTTTGTTCTTTAACACTTAAGGAAGTCTTTTGTAGCAGATTTGCCCAATGTAATATGTGGTTTGACTTCTTGACTGCTGCTTCCATGGGTGTTGATTATAGACCCAAGTAAAATGAAATCCTTGACAACTTCAGTCTTTTCTCTGTTGATCATAATGTTGCTTATTGGTCCAGCTGTGAGGATTTGTTTTCTTTATGTTGAAGTGTAATTCATACCAAAAACTGGTCTTTGATCTTCATCACCAAGTGCTTCGTGTCTTCTTTTGGAGTCTAGAAGTGCAAACTTTAGGTATCAAGAGGACTGTGCTCTCTGTCAACTCCAGGGAAAGATCGCTTCTTGTCTCCAGCAGCTTCTGGCAATCTAGGGTGTTTCTTGGTATTTCTTGGCTTATAGTGTCTTCCCTCTGTGTATGACTCTATTTCCATGTCTGTCCTCTTTTAAAGATGACATTCAGAAGGGAGTAGGAATAGGACCTACCCTACTCTGGTTTGACTTAACTATCAACAATCAACATCTGTGGAAAAAAAACAAACCTGATTTCTCCAGTGTCACATACATTCACTGATACAGGGGTTAGTACTTTAGCTTTTCTTTTGAGGAGACGCGATTCAATCCCTAACAGCTGTCTCCAGTTCATTCTTCAGATCTCAGTTTACACATTGCTTCATCTAGAAGCCTAACCAAGTCTGAAGTGTTCCATTTAGGTACCCTTAAGGCATGAACTTCCTATCATAGCACTTTATTACAATTATATTGTACTTCCTGTTTTCTTCATTAGCATATGAACTTCTTGAGGCAGGAAGTATGTTTGTTCTGTTTACAGTCATAGCCCCAGGACCTTGCACAATACCTGGCACAAAAGTGAGAAGTCACCAAACATTTACTGAAGAACAAATTCACTAATGTATGTATTAGACCCTGTTGGTCCATGGATTCTGAAGTTTTGTTCTTTCTATTTGTTGTGATAGGTTTTCCTGTTGAGTAAATGATCTTGCAAATTCTTGTAAAATACTGCAGAAGGCTGTGTGTGGTGTTTCTTAAGAGTCTCCTCTTGATGAGCTGGTTGACTTGAGGAATACCCACCTGGATGAAAATACTGGCTTGTCCATGAAATCATGTACTTCTGCTGATGATGATAATTTCAGAGCCCAAGAGTGACCTGGTCTAGGAGAATCTAGGATAGTTCTTTCTGAATAACTGCCTAAATACACTCCTCTTTTTCTCTTGTCTTTTTTAGCACTGGAAGACACAACACAGTGAGGAATATGAAGCAGAAGGTAAGAGCTTGGTGTGTTGGGAAGCCTGGGAAGAAAGGCCTGCCTTTTACAAGATGCTCCCCACACCCTGCCTTCCTGTATCTCTTAAACTTGCTCCTTAAAGCCTTGCATGCTGGAGGCCAGCTGGCAATTAACAGTAGGAGAAACAGCCCTCCCGCTGCCTTAGAGTGGATTCTGCCTCATAATGACCCATTAGAGAAAGTGGAACTGCCCCACAGGGTTTCCAAGGCTATAAATTTTTACAGAAGCGGACTGCCTCATCTTTCTCTCACAGAGCAGCTGGTGGGTTCTAACCACTGACCTTTTGGTTAGCAGCCAGATGCTTTAACCAGTACGCCATTGAGGCTCCCTGGCAACAACAAAAATAATTCCCAATTGTATCTCCTAGCATTAAAATCCTAGCATTTAACATAGTGCAAGAGATAGTGACTAAGAAGCAGAATTTCACTTATAGGCTAACTACGATCTTGCTTACTCTTTTAAATTAGTTTGTAAACAATGCTAAATTAAATAATCAGTTGTGGTTGAGTTGATGGCGACTTGTGGAGAACCCCACGTGTGTCACAGTAGAACTGTGCGCCATAGGGTTTGCAATGGCTGAGTTTTGGGGAAGATTGCCAGACCTTTCCTCTGGATGGACTTGAACTGCCAAACTTTTGGTTAGCAGTCAGTAGGCTAAATGTTTGCATCATCCAGTGAGTCCCCTAAACTAAATAGTGACCTTGTTAGAATGCATCCCTTGACAGATTGCACTATGTAGTTCAGCAGCATAAGAATATGTTGATCCTCTGGCCACCAGATGGCAATGTGGTTCAGCTGACAGACTGCTTCACAGCCTGCCCGGGATTAACTGTACTTAAGTATGATTGCAATATGTTCTCTAAATTTCCAACCTGGAAAAACACAGTAGTAACGGGTTTAAAAGGAGCTCTGGTGGTGTGGTGCCTAAGGCATTTGACTACTAAACAGAAGGTTGGCGGTTCAGATCCACCAGCCACTCCTCAGAAGGCAGACTGGGCAATCAGAAACCCAGGGAGGGGTTGCTATGAGTCGGCTCCTACTTGACGGCAGTGAGGTTGGTTTTTAGAACAGGCTTAAAAGGAGCTTCGGTGGCTGAGTGGTTAAGGCATCTATTTCCTTAAGGAATTAAAGCCTTGGAAATCCTATGAGGCAGTTGTAGGGTCGCTATGAGCCAGAGTCACCTCAGTGGCAGTGGAGTTGGAATGGGCTTAAATTCTGCCAATAAATGGCAAGGTTAGCATTAAATGTTCTCAACCCTGCAAGGTTCTTCCAGGCATACCAATTGTGGCAGTAATTATCTCATATGTAAGTGAGGCCTTTGCAGAATCTCTAATGTATAAGTGGAAGATTTAAGTAGAAGTGGAAACTTTTAATACAGGATAAATAAGCAGTTTAAGGCTTAAGTCTTCAAATAAAACATAGGTAATTAGGAATTTACAACTTGCAATCATGCTTTCAATTTGAATTGTTTGGTTTCTATAGGTAGAATATTTGCCTGTGTAAAGATTTAGGAGTGGGCTAACATTAAGATTTTTAACATGAAATTATTTCCTTCTCAGAAACAGCAGCTCTTTTCTAGAAAGAAAGGGGGGATAGTGCTGTCTGGCAGCTGTCACTGAGACAGGGTTTATACAGCTCTTTGGAATGGTTGACAACCAGCCTTCTTTTGTAATCACATAAGCCTAAATTTGTACATATTTTCAGTTGGAATAAAACAAGCCTAGAACCTTGTGTCAGATTGCACAAGACATGATAAAAAGTACCTGTTTGCTTTAGTTGTAGCTTGAAAACCAGTCGTTCCATTTCATTTGAACTTCAGGATCAAATAAAAATGGAACTAACATGTATAGTCTTTTTCTTATAATACTTATTTTCAAGCAGCACATTTTCCTTTGATAAAGGGCTTTCTCTTTGCAATTGCTTCGGAGACAACACAACACATGCCTTTGTTTCAGGCCAGTTAAGATTTTGGAACCCAGATGATTTGAATGCCTCACAAAGTGGCTCTTCCCCTCCCCAAGACTGGATAGAAGAGAAATTGCAGGAGGTTTGTGAAGATTTGGGGATCACCCGTGATGGCCACCTGAATCGAAAGAAGCTGGTTTCCATCTGTGAACAGCATGGTTTACAGAATGTGGCTGGAGAGGTAAGCCTTCCAGTGTGTTTTTCTCCAGGAATGATAATCATGACCATAGGTAAACTGGCCATATTGTGGCTTCCTTCAACATGTTTTAAAAAGAAACAAAACAGTAGTCATGTTGATTCCTAAGTGGTGACCCCATTTCACAGAACTGTGCTCCATGTGGTTTTTAATTGTGGTTTTCTCAGGAGTAGGTCTGCAGACCTTTCTTCTGAGGTGCCTCTGGATGGACTCAAACCTCCATCCTTTTGGTCAGCAGTCAGGCACATTAACCATTTGCACAAACCGTTTGCTCTTTTTCCCAAGGATGTCAGCCATGAGAATTCTGTCTTTGAGGAACTTGTGTTATGGGAAAGAAAAAATGATGATAGTCCATACTATGTGCCTCACTGTACTAAGCATGTCACTTGTGAGAGACTGTCAGACACTAGCCATGCTGTCAGGTATACTTGTGTAGGTGGTGTTCACGGAGCAAAGTGTGGAGGTGGGATTAAGCAGAGTTCAGTAGATTTGAGTTGCAGGAATATGTTGAAGGCTAGGCTGATGAGCTCAGTTTTTGCAGATCTCAGTGTTGTCTCTGAGCTCTTGAGCAGAGTGAACAACATAAAGGAGAACTTACTTGCTGAGTATGATCCGATCTCCTTTTATAGGACATACTGATATGAGGAGCCTTGATTGGGGAGACCCACCAGGAGCCATTATGATACTCTAATCATGAGGAAGTGAAAAACAGTAGGTTGGTGGTTTTTGAAAATGCAAAGAAAAATCTTGAAGAAGCCCCGAGAAGACTCTTTCTTAGTATAACCGTAAACTTTCCATTCTCTAAAAAATTAAGAGAGGGGCAACTGGGATGGCTTGGTACATGAAATAGTTATGAAACATAAGAATATAATTCCAAGTGTTTGAAAACAAGATTTGGAGAAAATTCAAGATTAGGGCTAGAGTTGTAGCCTTGGGAATCTTTGATTATAATGATGTTTGAAACCATGCTGCCTCTTTGTTTAGGGGATAAATGGTATTATTTTCCAGAACTAAAAAGAGATTTATCATCATAAGCTCTAAAACCGCCTGGCTTGGCAATGTTTTCTTCCTTCTCCCTTGCATTTGTGACAATTATATACCCTTTGATTGCCTTTTTAATGCCTCAGTGATCTTTTTTTTTTTTTTTCAAATGGTGGTTGTTGAGTAATAAAATTAAAGTCATACTCCGGAATTATAAACTAGTGTAGTATACAGAACTTTGGGTGTTTTTGCCAAGAAATATTGCACAAACTTGGGTTATTTATCAAGAAATAATTCTTGGAATAAACTGGAGTCAATTATGGGGCAGTTTTATTTCCAAAACTCAGGACAAGAAGTAGCACATTTAGTTCTTTTCCTCTGGTCTGAGAATGATTAAAGAATTGCTTATTGAATAGTAGCTTTTACTTAGTTTTTTTCCTCCTTAAAAAAAAATCATGAAGTACTATATTACTTTGTATCACTGGATCCAGACCACAGAACAGCTGAAAGTTCAGGATGACCTCATGCATGTACAACTTGGACTCCTAGAATTTTATGGCTGAAAGCAATTTTAGATTTAGTCACCCCTCAGTTTATAGATAAGCGAAGTGAGATCACTGCTTCTCATTGCCGTGTCATGAAAGGCAGCTAGAGTCACTGCCTTAGGGTTTTTACTAGTACTTTTCTTTCCAGGACAGAGGACAACTGTAGGGCAGGGATGGGAAACTAGCGCCCTAGGGGCCAAATCCAGTCCAAAGTCTGTTTTATTTGGCCCCACCCAATGTTTATAAAATTGAATTTTTTGCTATACTTATGTAGTCAGAAGATTTTTCTAAAAACTAGAAGACTTAATTTGGCTGGTAGTGAGAAGTAGCTAGCTCCTTAGAACAGAACATGCACTCATGTACTCAGTTCACCACTGCTTTCTTTTTAATATTTTGTTTATTTTTGGTGGCAATATATATAACCAAACATACATCAATTCACAAGTTCTACATCAGTAGTTAAGTAACATTGGTTACATATTTCACCGTGTGTCCCCATTTTCACTATCTCTACTCATATTGTTTCACCACCATTAATTTAGGCTCTCTGTCCCCTTAGAATTCTCACCTGTGCTTTAGCTATGCTCTTGTCTGTTTAAACTCGTTTAGATAATTCTTCATAAGTGTGCTATGCTCAAGGCAAATATTCTTTGTTAATTGGGCTAAATTGTTACTTGGTTTAATGATGGCTTCATGGGATAATTTTGGTTCAAAGTTAAAAGATTATCGCTGAACATCACATTCAAGGGTTTCCCCAGTCTCAATGAATTGAGCAAGTGGTTTCCATATGAGTTTGAAGTCTGTTCTACACTTTTCCTACTTCTGATCAGGATCCATCTGTTGGGTCCTTGATCAAAACATTGAGTAATTGTAGCAGGCACCGTTTCCTCTGGTCTCATTCAGCATTACTTAGTAATGTCTTAAAACCATCCTGTCTCACTCATTTACATCATCTTGCTGGCCTCTCCGGATTTTGGGGATCCCCATGCTAGTGTAGTATGTCCCAGCTTGTATATTGGGAAACTAGCTATCCAAAGGCCTGGTTGGTGTATCACGAGGAGTAAGACTTTTTTCATAGTTGGAGATGCTGCTCTTGCACAGACTATAGTGGGTACCCGCATTCTTTTCAGCCAAACTCTGCCTATTCACCTTCTTCTGAATCCACATCCTTTTATTTACCTCTTGCCCACTGGCTCACCTCCAATAAATGACAGTACTCACCTGTTCCACCACTCTGAGTACATCAGGTGATTGGTGCTTAGGCATTCTGGAAGCTGTGCATTGATTTGGCCAAAGTCACATGGCCAAGCAATGTATATCTGAAGTTAGAGCCAAAATATTACGTTGTGAACTTGAATCAGCACTTCTGGATGTTACTGTAATTTCTGATTTGGTAGTCCTGAAAGCCTATTCCTCCTATTCTCTCTCTCTCTCTTTTTTTTTTTTTTTTTGTCCTCTGGTGCCCTGTGGTCCATTGCTCTAAGGGATGTATTACCATAGAGTATGTGGGTGCGTCATCTTGGGTTGAGTGGTCTGCATGTACATCTTGTTAACTATTGGATGGAGAGCCAGCCCCTGGGGGTGAGTTTCATTTCAGGCACAGAATGTATTCCAGGGCCATAGTATTGGGGGTCTCATAAGACTTCCTCTGACAATAATTCTGGTCATTATTGAGTTTTTAGATTTTGTTCCATGTTTTCCCTCCCACTCTATCCAGGATCTCAAGATTTGATCCTTTCCTGAGTGGTTGGCATTGGTAGCCGGGCACCATCTAGTTCTTATGGTCTCAAGGGCCATCTTGTACTATGGCTGATTGCTTCCAAATGCTCTTTTTTTTTTTTTTTTTTGCATTCTTCTGACACTAGGAGACCATTAGTTGCATCTTAGATGGCTGCTTGAAAGCTTTTAAGACCTCAGTCGCTACTCACCAATGTAGGATGTGGAACAAGGCTTTTATGTATTTTGTTGTGCCAATTGAGTCTGGTGTCCCCCAGTACTATGGTCCTGAGCCAGTAGATCTATTGGATCTCTTTCCCATAGTGTCTGGTTTTCTGTGAGGGATTACTCTGTGTCTGTCTTCTATTGTTTCTGTAATGAGGGAGGGAAGGGGAGGAATTACTTTTGGGCTAGTTGGGGCCCACACGCTGACGTGGGTAAGGGGAGGGATATATGGAAAAGAACTGTGACCACCAAGATAACATTAGGAAATGGGTGGACGCTGAATTGTGTGCATAAGAGATAGACGACAGATGCTAATACCAACCATTGTATCCACAATACCGTGTTACCATGAACACCAAACACCAAGCTACAGATTAACACATAAACACCTGAGAGGATCAGATGGGGGTCAGTGAACAGGAGTATACACTAGACCAAGGATAGATACAGCTGAGGCTAATCTTGCACAGACACCAGTGATACAAAATACCTGCAATCCTCCTATTCTTTTAGTTTACAGAACAAGACAAAGAAACTAAGGGATTTTGGAATCTCAGAATCTTATTTAAAATATTATTCCTGTGGTTTGATCATAAGATTCTGTTTGGAACTTCTGCTTTTTTCAAAGATTTTCACCCTTGAAAATGGTTTTCTTGCCTCAGGGTATCCCAATGCCCTTTCCAGAGGAAGTGGTATAAAAGCAAGAAAAGAGGCAGATGTTTTCTATTGGATGTAAATTGGAAAAAAGCTTTCAAGAGAAATGCCTGAAGCACTTACATAAAGAATAAAATCAACAATTATGAGATGTTAGGAATGCTAGCAATAGTCCTGATATGCATGCAGTGTTGTTCCAAGTAAGGTTCTAAACCCCAAGTCATGAGTGTCAGATCCAAACTCCTAGATCTTTGCAGTCTGTCTGAGGTCAAATTCTGATAGCTGACATCAATTTCAAAAATTCAGTATAAGCAAAATATCATTTAGAGGCACCACAATAAAAAGGATTCATGTATGTCCAACTCATTTCTATTCTTAATAACAGTGAGAAGCTGTATCTCTATATCTTTAAAGTAATCTTTTAATTTGTAAGAATAATGTGTAGCAGTATTAAATAATTGCCTGTCCTAGGAGTGTGAGTGAAAGAGAAAACAGTTCATTACTAAATTGCATGAGATTGTGAAGATATTGAAAACTGACTTTAATTTAGTTTGTGTGAGAAGGGCACATCATTACTAGTTAGTGAAATCAATGAAATGACAGTGAAGGGACCTAATTTTTTTTTTTTCCCCCTACAATCCTAGTATCAGCAGTGGTGCTGGTTCCTATTGACCAGATGTACACTTAAGGGGTTGGGTTATATTGAGTGAAGTGTTTAAGATATGTGGTTACCCTTTTCTAGATGCTTGAGGATGTCTTCCATAATCTTGATCCTGATGGTACAATGAGTGTAGAGCGTTTTTTCTATGGCTTGTTCAAAAATGGAAAATCCCTTACTCCATCAGGATCTACTCCATACAGACAATTGAAAAGGCACCTCTCCATGCAGGTAAGAAATAATAAGAAGTGGTTTCTTTGTGGGTGGAAGTTAGAACCTATTTGAATAATATTCAATGAATCTGTTATTCAAAGAAAAATACTGAAAAAGAGAAGAGAAAAAGAAGAAGGGGAAAAAATGCTAAACCTTTGAGAAGGAAAAGTTGGGTCTGAGAAATGACCATAAATTGCAGAGTGGGAAAGCCACTAATTATGCCTCTCAGTGTCAGCTGTGGGTCAGAAGAAGCCTGGTGTTAAGCAGAGACACATGTCATCTATGTCAGAGAACTTTCTACCAGACCAATTGTTTTTGATAAGCTTTGTAGTCTTGGCTCATTTGGGAAAGATCAAAGGGGTTGCATGACTCTTTTTTCTAGCAGTGTGTATTAGAGAAACCTGCCTTCTGCCAGTGTGGTTGGGACTGACCCATTCCAGACTTGAACAACATCTTGTTGAAGTGCCTTGGGTCAAGCTGACTTTGCTCAAGTCTCTTTCTTCATCCAGTCTTTTGATGACAGTGGACGACGTACTACAGCCCTGTCAACGATGACTGGCACCATTGGCTTTCGAGTCTTTTCCTGCCTGGATGATGGGATGGGCTATGCATCTGTGGAGAGAATCCTTGACACCTGGCAGGAAGAGGGCATTGAAAACAGCCAGGAAATCCTGAAGGTGTGGTATCTAAAATGGGAGCATAATGACAAATCAGGGAAAAGCTGTAAAACTCTTCCTCCTTTGAAACTCTGATTTGATTTGATTTCTCCTTAATGATTTCAGATCTTCACAAGATCTTCAGAGATAAGAGACAACTTTTCTTACTCCTTCAGCCAGGAGTCTGTTGCAAACTGTTCTTCATGTTATTTAACCCAAATTATTGACAAGAGAAAGGCTCTGGTTTGATCTCTAGTTGGTGAAGATTAGAATTGTACCATTATGTTTATTTATAGTGCCAGATTATATTTTTAACAAACCTACAAATAAGCATGTTATGGTTTCCTTAGGGAGAACTTAATTATATTCTAAATGAAAACTGTTCTAAGCAGTCACTAAAGAAATACAGTCATCTAACTTCCAGACCATAAATTCAGTTATCTGAGTTTGTGTATCTTTCACGTTTTCTGCTTTCAGAGGATGGAATTTGTGATTGTCTTGAACTTATGGCTGGTTCTGATTTCTAGGCCTTGGATTTCAGCCTTGATGGAAATGTCAACTTGACGGAATTGACACTGGCTTTTGAAAATGAACTTTTGGTCACCAAGAATGGCATTCACCAGGCGGCTCTGGCCAGCTTTAAGGCTGAGATCCGGCATTTGCTGTGAGTTGAGCAGAAGGTTCGCCTGCCCCATTCCCTTTCCTGCTTGGCCAACAGTTCAGTCCGATGCTGCGACAAACATTCTTCCATCTTTTATGCAAATATGACTCATTTTCTATCATTTAACTCCTGCATAAATCTTCCTTAAACTGTAGGAAAATTACATAGTGCTTCGATTTGCATATTGGTTTTTTAAAAGGAACTGTGGAATGCCTTTTTTGTTTTGTTTTGGGAGGATTTTGGTTTTGGTTTTGTATTGAAGCAAGTCAGATGAGAGCTTTTTTGGATCTACCTGTTGCTTAGAAAGAGTGTTCCTTTAACTGAGTTTGTTTCTGATTCTAGGGAGCGAGTTGATCAGGTGGTCAGAGAAAAAGAGAAGCTACGGTCAGATCTGGACAAGGCTGAGAAGCTCAAGTCTCTAATGGCCTCAGAGGTGGATGATCACCACGCAGCCATAGAGCGACGGAATGAGTACAACCTCAGGTGCGACTGGTAGGGTGAGGGTCTTCCTTTCTCACTGGTAGGGCGAGGGTCTTCCTTTCTCACAGCCTGGGCCGGGGCAGTGTGTCTGCAGCTGCAGTGCTAAAACAGAGCAAAGGGGGCTCTGCCTGCCTAACTGGTTAGCTATACTTGATTGTGGTGTTTTAGCTGTGGTCAAGCCTAAAGAAAAGCAGGACACACTCAATAATTTCTCAAGATTCTTCCCAGCTCTCTATTTCCATTTTTGGTGCCGCCCTACATAGACCTCTGAGGGTGCTGATGACAGTTTGTCAATCCTCCTTTCCTCCCACAGGAAACTGGATGAAGAGTACAAGGAGCGCATAGCAGCCTTAAAAAATGAACTTCGAAAGGAGAGAGAGCAGATTCTGCAACAGGTGGGCAAGCAGCGTTTGGAACTTGAACAAGAAATTGAAAAGGCAAAAACAGAAGAAAACTACATCCGGGACCGCCTCACCCTCTCTTTAAAGGTAATAGTCCTATTAGTTCTGTAGTCTGTGTCCCTGTGTTGTTACCAGGTGGAAAACCAAGGCTATGCAAGAAGGAAGGTGTACACAGGCTCAGTCCAAGGATTCCCTTAAGTTTGCCCACCTGAGCCATGACCCAGACAAGGTACCTGCTGGGCTCTGGATTTTAGGGGTATCCAGGCTTCTAGTTTGCTAACAGCATCGATTTGAGCACCTTGTTCTTACTTCTGAAGTTGTACTGGGGCCTCAGGGCTGTTTGGTTGATTACATTCACCATCCCCCACAACTGCTGATCCGCCTTCTTTGTTCCCTATTCTCATCAGTTGGCCTCACCTCCAGCCACAGGGAAACTATCAGCTTTGCTTCTCTCTGCCTCCAAATGAGCCTTTTCCTTGATACATCGTCCCCTCCTTTCCTGCTGCCTCAGTAGAAGGAGAGGTCTTTCTGTGTCGGGTAATATGGTACAGTACAGTCTAGAGATTAAGAATGGAGGCTCTGGAGTCAGAGTGCCTTTTTCAAATCTAAGCATCACCCTTACTATAAAACTTTGGGCAAGTTACCCAAACCAGTTTGCTAATGTACAGAATGGACACCATAATAATGATTACCCCATAGGGTTGATGTGGGATTAAATGAGATGATATATATATATACAGGGTCTGGAAAGCAATACATACATATGATATGTTCACTCTTGTTGCTATCATGAAAGGTTCCTGAAACTCCACACGTTTGGGGGGGGGGGCATTACTTCTCCCTAACTGCAAACTGACTTTTTCCTCTCCTGACTTTTCTCCCTAACCTACCTTATCACCATGTGCTATCATCCTCACTCCTCATTGCTAATCAGTCTTTAAGTCTTATGATGCTCAGAGATGCCTCTCACCTTTATCCCCTTCTTCTCCATTTCCATAGTCTCTGGAATAGGTTCAGAAATGATCATAATTTCTCAGCTGACTGATGTGCATCCTGACCAGTCCTTTCCTACATCTGTCCTACTCTGGCTACCAGAGATCCCAGGTTTAAGCACTCAACTATCAGCTGAAAGGTTGGCGATTCAAGTCCACCCAAAGATACTGTGGAAGACAGGCCTGATGATCTGCTTCCAAAACCCACAGCCTTGAAGACCCTGCAGACAGTCCACTCTACACACATGGGGTCACCATAAGTTAGAAACAACTCATCGCTAACTAACAATAACAGAGGGCTACCAGAGTTGCCTTACTAAAAATCAAATATAATTATGGTTGTAAAAACATCATCATTCCTTTCTAATCTCAGACCTGCCAGCAACTCCTGGCTCCATGTACCTCCATCCCAATGCACTTCTTCCCATCAGCAGTCAATTCCACAGTAGACCAAGTTAATAGTGTGTTTGCTGTTGTGTTGTATCCATATCTGTCTCCATGTGTGTTCCCTGCAGTCAGTAACAATACTTGATGTGTCAGTTCCCAGAGTATCAGCACAGTTTCTACCACACAGAGATTGTTCCTTCTTGTTTCAACATCTAAATTTAGGTATACTTTACATGATTAAAGTTGTCGAATTGGCATTTGGGGAGAAGACAGAGTTTTTTTTTTTTCAATGTTTCAAGTACATTCTTTTTCACTCCATATTGCTGTGTGAGGGTGTGAATTAGAATACATTAAAATATACTGGCTTTATATTCTTTTGGCATAATTCACTTTGAAAATAATGTTCTTCCAGTCAGCCTTTAACATTGGAGTAGAAAATATGTCAAAGCAGTGGTATGTCGGTATGGTTTTACTTACTTATCTTTTTAACAAATGTGGGTAGAAGTCATACTAAAAAGTACTATATTTACAGACCCTTCTAAATGAAAAAACAAACAACTTTTATGGACTTGCAATAGATATGTTATTATATAACTGAAGCAAATATAAATTATGAACAACTTATAGTGTAACTTTTACAGTTATATATTTAAAACTAAAATAAATTTGTAAATTAAATATAAACCAAACTGTAATATCATTAAATGAAAATTAACTTTAGAGTTATTCTACTTTTTATAGTTTTCTGAGTTCTCTTTTGCTGCCAGCTGAACAATGTATTTTGCAAAGTTGTCTTTGACAATACATTAACAACGTTCTTCACGTCCTTAAGTGTTTTACCAAGGTGCTATTCCATAGAAACATAATGTAAGCCACATATATAATCTCAGGTTTGTGAATATTCACATTAAATAGGTAAAAAGAAATGGGGAAATTAATTTCAAACCTTTAATCTACTATCTCAAATATTATTGCTTTGATATGTAATCAATATTGTATACAGAAATTATTGAGATACTTTACATTGTTTGTACTGACTCTTCAAAATCTACCATGTATTTTATATTTACAGCACATCTCAATTTGTCCTAAATACATTTCAAATGTTCAATAGGTCCATGTAGCTGCTAGTGGTTACTATAGTGTGTTAGCTACGTGGTGCTGCTATCACAGAAATACCACAGGTGGGTATTAACAAACAGAAGTTTATTTTCTCACGGTTTAGGAGGCTGGAAGTCTGATGCAGGACACTGGCTCTAGGGGAAGGCCTTTTCTTTCTGTTGGCTTGCAGTTTAGGAGCAAAGTCTTTGTCTCCTTTCAATGTCTGTGGGCCTGGAGTTCCCTGGAGAACAATCTTCAGGGAGGATTGTCTCTTGACATCAGTCTTCCCCTGGGTCAAGTAGGTTCCCAGCACAAGGACCCTGGGTCCAAAGGATGCACTATGCTCCCAGCTCTTCTTTCTTTGTGGTAGTCAGTCCCTCTCTCTGCTTACTTGTCTTGCCTTTTGTCTTTTATAAAAGGGTATGCAAGCTACACTCCAGAAAAACTCCCTACATTGGATCAGGTCTGTGACCTGAGTGAGGATGTTGTGCCCCACTCTGATCCCCTACCATCACATCATGGGGGATGGTTCCATCACTGCATAACTGCCAACCACTGAGAATCATGGCCCAGCCTAGTTGGCACATGTTTTGGGGGGGACACGATTCAATACATGACATATAGTGTATAGCAGCACAATTTAACAGGATCAAAAAAAAAAAAAAGAGAGAGTCAGGTTTTTAGGTTAAAAATAGATGTCAAATTTTATATTTGTTTCCTAAACCACTGGAACTCTTCAAGATAGGCACATTTTCACAATATGGAGACTGATTTATGCTTAATATAAAATGGTACAACCGTTTGCTTATTTTTTAATCTGTGTCACATTTAATTTCCCCAAATTTCTTCAGGAAAACAGTCGTCTCGAAAGTGAGCTTTTGGAAAATGCAGAGAAATTGGCAGAGTACGAGAATCTGACAAATAAACTACAGCGAAATTTGGAGAATGTGTTAGCAGAAAAGGTAAATCTGTTTAAATCTGATTTCCTGGTGTGCAGTCCAAAGTGTAGGGTACTCAAAAGAGTACCATGGAAATTTCCAGTAAGGAATTTGTTAAATGGCTAAAGGAAGCTGTAATTTCTGCTGGGATGTAATTTAGTAGGTAGCTTATGAGGTTATAGCACTGAAAAGTGCCAGCCTCTGATCCTTGCCTTAGTTGAGCATGTCACTCAAGTGTGTTCTCCGTTTGGTGGTGTTTCTGCCAAAGTGTCACATTCCTTTCATACTCATGAGACAAAGTGAATATCAGAAACTGGAGCCTTTGGCATGTTACAGGTCACGGAAGGACATTCGGGAGAAATAACAGCTCTTTCTTTTTCTAGTTTGGTGACCTCGATCCCAGCAGTGCTGAATTCTTTCTGCAAGAAGAGAGGCTGGCACAGATGAAGAATGACTATGAACAGCAGTGCAGAGTAAGTGGCTAAAGAGAACTCGATAAATGGATTAATGCCTAGGTTCAAATCCTGTTGCCATCGTTTAGCTGTGTGACCTTATACATGTCACTTAATCTGTGTGTGCTTCTGTTCCTCATTGATAAAATGGCAAACATAAGAGTACCCACTGAAAAGCGTTGTTGGGAAGAGTCATTGAGTGTATATGGATATAGTGCTTACAGCAGTGCTAAGGATATAGTGAGCAGTTATACAGATGAGCTATTAACGTCATTATCCAATATCCTGAACTACTGAGGAATCATGTCCTTAAGTCTGCTTTATCTAGGTCAGAAATTGCCAGTGCTTAGAGGGAAATGTGGCTTTATTTCAAGTGGAAGAATTTGTGGTCCTGGTGATGGGCTTATTCCAAAATTAGCCTTTATCCTGTGTTGAATGCTCCCCCCTTCTCCAAATCCATTTCTTACTTTTCACAAAATGCAAATGAAATCCTCCATCAAGATTTCAGATGGTGAATGGGTCCCAATGCCTACCAGGAGGGACAAAAACATCCTTATAATTAATAAGTATCTTTAATTTTCAAAATAATTCCCCTAAATTTTTAGGCATTTGGAAATTTTTTTGTTCTGAAACCACAAACACTTGTTTATTTTAACAAGTAAGTATAAACTGAATTCTTACTGCTTTAGATGAAAACTGTAATTGTGCAAACAAGGAAAACAATCACCTTTCAAGTGGTTGCTCATAACCTGCTTTTTCAGCAAATATATGCACACGTTTTGAGAAAATAAATTAAACATTTCTGCTGCTTTTATAATTAAATTTTGGCTCTATCAGAGAGAAAAAGTGTTTTCTCCAAAGGTCTTTTAATTTAATGAATTTTTCAGCAAAATCTGTTGGCTCTACCTAAGAAGAGTACCCCAAATCTGTCTGCTTCTCTTTTTTCCCCACAGCTTTGCATACCGTACAATTCAGCCATTTAAAGTGTACCATTCAGTCTCATATAGTACATTCCAGTTATGCACCCTTCACCACAATCAATTTCAGAACATTTTCATGACCCAGAAGGCACCCCCTGTGCCATAGCTGTGATCTTCCCCATGTCCCCAGTGCTAGGAAACTGCTAGTATACTTCTGTCTCTATAGGTTTCCCTATTCTGGACATTTCATATAAATGGATAGTGTCCTTCACAGCACAAAATTTTTCAATTTTGAATATGTCCAATATTTTTTCTTTTGTTGCTTGTGCTTCTGATGTCATACCTAAGACCTGTGTTGGTTTTTCAATCCCAGGTGTTACAAGACCAAGTGGATGAACTGCAGTCTGAACTGGAAGAGTATCGTGCACAAGGCAAAGTGCTCAGACTTCCCCTCAAGAACTCCCTTTCAGAAGAGCTTGATGGTAACAGCGGTGGCATTGAGCCTGACCAGGGTAAACACACTGAGACACCACCTTCTGGAGCCTCTGCCTTTGACCCTTGTTTTTAGAATCATAGTTGAATGTAAGGCTGCAAAATTTTGGCAAGTTAAAAAAAAAAAAGGATTTTGGCAATAGTATTTTCTTGAGCTTTCACTTGTGGTCTGGTTTTTAGTTTGTCCTTGAAGTCTTTATGAGAATATTTCCATCTGATTTTGATATATATCACTAAAGGAATGGAAAAATCAAACCGCAAGGCTGTTTGCTCTTTAAAAAAAAAAAAAAAAAACTGGCCACAAATCTGAGAACGCAGGCCTTTGAAGTGTTGGCATTCAGACACAAGCTGTGACTGAATCTTCCTTTATAAGAGAGTGTCTAACTGGTATGAAGGTGGTTTTTGAGAGTGAACCAGCCAGGAACCACAGAATCCATAACCGGTTTTCTTATCCTGGTTGTGCTGAGTGTCTCTGTTGCTTCTACAAAACAACAAATTAAATAAGTAAGGGCTGCTTGCCTGTGCCTTTGAGGAAGACTTCGATGGTGAGGTCAGAAGGCAGAGTTGTTTGGGACCCCTCATACAGTCACCAGGAGCCCTTTTCTTCCCTCCTGAAAGCCTGCCTCTTTCCTTGGGTGTGTTGAGTTTCAATTTCAGAAACCCTAAGTAAGGTTCCTAACCAATTTTTCTGTTACAAATCATTTTCCTCACTGCTACTTAGAGCAGGAGTACAAGTTTTTGCAAGAGTTGTTTATTCACCTCCTCATCTCTTTTCCTCTGAAATAAATAAGGGATTGGGGAAGGGAGAGAAAGAAGCCTTAAGATCTTTTCTCTGACTCTTGACTCACTTATTGTAGTCTAAGGATGGAGCCCAACTGATGATATATCTCAGCAGCTTTTTCTGGGCTTTTCCATAAATGACCGAGCATTGGGGTGCTTTGCATGGATCCATGAAACTGTACCATCTTGGGGTGTCTCACAGCCCAAGGATCACTTCTCTGTTGGGTATATGCCATGATCAGTGCAGAGAGAGGCAGAATAAGACTGCCACTCAGAGCAATGGGACCCAGCCCAAGAGGACTCCCTTTCTTCCATCTGAAAGTGTCCCCTAACATCAAAGACTCAGGTGGTCCCCGCACCTCAACAGTTTCTACATAGTAGTACACACAATCATTTTGTCTATAACTGGGTCAGCCCCCAGCTTATGCTTCGCATTTCAACCAGTGTCCTTCTCAGTAATCGTCACAGGTAGTTAACAGAGGTAATCTCATATGGATGGACAGAGAATTTTTCCCCAGACTGCCTATATTCAGGTCTCTATCGTATGCCCTATTTTTCATGTTAGCTGATAATTTAAGATGTAGTTCCACCCACATCCCAAGAAATTCATAATACAATACCCAGTTAAGTAATGTTGAATGAAGCACTGGATACCTTGACCCATGAAATTAACTCTTCAAGGTATAGCAGTAAGTGTGCTGCTGGCCATTCATTCCTCTGGTCCATTGCCCCTCTGCTAACTTTTCACTTAGTATTTGTTGGCTAGGTAAGTGGCTGGTTGGTTTGACCAAATTACCTCACCCTCTGGCATTTTCGTTTGGAGGAGGTTACCTTCAAGCAGCAATTTCCACAGCTGCCCACCTACTGTTCAGAAAGAAGGATTCTGTTAAGGTTTGATGAACTTCCTGTACATGGAAGGATTTGTTCATCTTCATTTCTTTTTGTTGACAATGGTTTGAACCCACCCAGTGGCACTGCAGAAGAAAGGCCTGGTGCTCTTCTGTAAAATTAGAGTCGGGGGAAAAAAACTTGGAAGCATTTCCATTCTGTGACGTGGGGTCACCATGAGTCAGAAGCAACTCATCAGCAACAGGTTTTTTTCTTGATGCATGAGAAAGAAGGCACTTCTCTTGTTTCCTAATAGATCACATCTGGGCAATTTAGGCTGAAAATTCTTCCAGTTTAACTGGATTTTTACCCCCCCCCCCCGGATGCCAGATTGTGTTATTTGAAGAGCCTGCCACCAGGTCAATGGGTCCCATGTATTTACAGGGCTTGGTTCTGAAGAGTGCAATCCATTGAATATGAGCATTGAGGCAGAACTGGTCATCGAACAGATGAAAGAACAACATCACAGGGACTTGTGTTGCCTAAGACTGGAACTTGAAGATAAAGTAAGTCCTTCTTGCCAATCCAGTTCTCTAATTTCTTTGAGCTTGAACAGGCTTTTGCCTGTAGAGCATTCCCAGTTCTTTATTTCTCACAGTACATTACTTCGTGCATTTCCTCTTGTGTCTAGTGACCACCAGGAACCACGTCCTCAGGCTGGTCTCATAGGCTGCAAGAGAGGCCTTGTCTCCCTGGGAGAGAACTTCTCCCAGAACGTGTAATATCTTCAACTCTGGCCAACATAAAATTAAAAGCTTAGAGACTATAATATTATTTCCAACCTGTTTAAAAAAAAAACCAAAAAACCTAATGCTCAAACCTGCATCTAAGCAGATGTTTTAGATTCATACCAAAAAACTTCTTTGCTATAGCTAAATGCTAAATTAGTACAAGTTTTGAACCTTAAAGTCCAAAATCTTTTACCATGTATCTCAGCTCACATTTCTAGTCTTCTCTTTCACTATCCTTTGAGTTAACCTAGCCTCCAGCCAAAGAGAGTAGTTTACTGTTGTCCATAGAACTCTGTCCTCTTTTGCCACCATATCTTTGCTCACACTATTACTCCTCTGCTTGAAAATCTGCTCATCCCTCAGAGTTTGTATCAAATACTACTGCTTTCATGAAACATCCTGAATTTCCTCAACAAAATGTAATTTTTCCCTCATTTTACATGGTAGCTGTTTTTTTCCATACCTTTTATGTTCTACTTTGTAGTGTACTTATTTGTACTTGGCCATAACCATGTCTGTACTGGTTTCTTCTTCATGGCAGGGACTATGTCATAACCAACCTCGTGTTCCCATGAGGCCTACAGAGTCCTGATAGGTGTTCAGTAAATATTTGAATTTAATTATTTCCTAAATTTGCTGTTTAAAAGGATGCATTGGAAGACAAATGATAGATATCTTTGAAAGTCTGCTTAGTTCTTAATGAATTGTTCAGAAACTAATGAAATTCAGCCCACTTAAAAAGAAAAGCAAGCCATGCCTGACTTAATTACATATTACTTAAATTGTTTTTTGAATTAAGTTAATTTATAAAACAAAATGGGAAAACTCAGGACTGTCTTATAGGAAAAAATACTTGCTGCCCCATCACCTTCCTTTCCACAACCTTGGGTTAAATAATCTTATCATGATTGCACTTTTTGATTTTAGGTGCGCCATTATGAAAAACAGCTAGATGATACTAAGGCCACCTGTGAAAAGGAGCAAGAGAACTTGAAGCAAAAGTATGAGGATGAAATACACACCTTGAAAAAGCAAATCAGTGGCCTGAAAAATGAAATTGCAGAACTTCAGGAGCAGGCAGTAGTGCTAAAGGAGACACAACAAAAGACTAACTGCAGACACCAGGAGGAAAAACAACAACTACAAATGAAGTTTGTTGAAGAACAGACTCATCTGCAGGAAAAGCTAAGGCTGGAACATGAAATAGAGCTCAAAGCTAGACTGTCACAGATAGAGGAAAGCTTTAACCGAGAGAGGGAAGGACTCATTCATAATGGCACCTGGGCAGAAGAGAAGGTGAGAGACTTAACTCAGGAACTAGAACAGTTTCACCAGGAGCAGTTGAAAAGTCTGGTGGAGAAGCATACTCTTGAAAAAGAGGAGTTGCAAAAAGAGCTCTTGGAAAGGCACCAAAGAGAACTTCAAGAGGGGAGGTAAGACAATGAGGGGAAGTAGAGCAGCTTGGGGCCTCATCTCTTAAGACACCAGCAGTTCCAGTCAGTTAAGAAAACTGGTAAATCAAGAGGCATGATAGTCCATTGATTGATTTAGATTCCGTTTAAATTTTTCATTATGCTTTACCTTTGCTTAGCCATAGTTTACCTTGGGGTTATTGGAACTATGGTTTGTTTTTTTTTTTTTTTTTTTTTTTGGTTTTAAAGGCCCATATTTGATAAGTGTCGTCTATGTACCACTTTTTAAGGTAATGTTGTTGTTGTTGTTGTTATGTGCAGTGGACTCGGACCCGACTCATAGTGACCCCTCCTTGGGTTTCTGCAGCAGTATCACTACGGAAGTAGATTGCCCAACCTTCCTTCCAAGGAGTGGCTGGTGGGTTTGAACCGCCAGCCTTCTGGTTAGCAGTCAAGTGCTTA